AAAAGAGTGTGCAGAGATAGATGGACAAGAGAAAGGAAGAGAGAATGAAAAGAAAGATGGAGAATAGAAATGAAAATAGAGTGCAGAGAAATATGGAGAAATTAAAGGAAGGGAGAGTGCAGGGGAAAATTGAAAAATAAAAGGAAGAGAGAGTGCAGAAAAAGAAAGGAAAATAGAATGTGGAGAAACATGGAGAAAAGAAAAGGAGATAAAGTGCCAGAGAAAGTTAGAGGAAAAAAAGGAAAAAGAGAGTGCGGAGTAATATGGAGAAAGGAAAGGAAGACAGGGTGTGGAGAAAGAGGGAGAAAAGAAAGGAAGAGAGAGTGGAGAGAAATATGGAGAAATTAAAAGAAGAGAGAGTGCAGAGAAAGATGGAAAAAAGAAAGGAAAAGAGAATGTGGAGAAACATGGAGAAAGTAAAGGAAGAGAGAGTACAGTAAAAGATGTAGAAACAAAAGGAAGAGAGAGTGCTGAGGAAAATGGATAAAAGAAAGGAACATAGGGTGCAGAGAAAGATAGAGAAAGGAAAGGGAGACAGGGTGTGGAGAAAGATGGAGAAAAGAAAGAAAGAGAGAGTGGAGAGAAAGATGGAGAAAAGAAAGATAGTGAAAACGCAGAGAAAGTTGGAGAAAAGAAAGCAAAAGAGAGTGTGAAGAAAGATTGAGAAATTAATTAAAGAGAGAGTGCAGAGAAAGATGGAGAAGAGAATGAAAAAGAGATTAAGGAGAAAGATGTAGAAAAGAAAGGAAAAGATAATGTGGAGAAAGATGGAGAAATAAAACGAAGAGAGAGTACAGTGAAAGATGTAGAAACGAAAAATAGAGAGAGTGCGGAGAAAGATGGAGAAAATAAAACTGAGCGCAGAAAAAGATGGAGAAAAGAAAGAAAAAGAAAGTGCATAGAAAGATGCAAAAATTAATTAACGAGAGAGTGCAGAGAAATCTGGAGAAAAGAAAGGAAGTGAAAATGCAGGGAAAGTTGGAGAAAAGAAAGGAAGAGAGAGTGCAGAGAAAAATGAAGAGAGGAAATGAAAATAGAGTGCGGAGAAAACTTGAGAAACTAAAGGATAAGAGAGTGCAGAGTAAGATGTAGAAAAGAAACGAAGAAAGTGTGTGGAGAAAGATGGAGAAAACAAGAGAAGAGAGATTGAAGAAAAATATGGAGAAATTAAATGAAGAAAGAGTACGGAGAAAGCTGGAGAAGAGAAAGGAAGAGAGAGTGCATAGAAAGATGAAGAAATAAAAGGAAGGGAGAGTGCAGAGAAAACTTGAGAAACTAAAGGATGAGAGAGTGCAGAGGAAGATGGAGAAAAGAAAGGAAGAGAGAGGGGAGAAAGATGGAGAAAAGCAAAGAAGGGAGAGTGCAGAGAAAGATGGCAAAAAGAAAAGAGAGTGCAGAAAAGATGGAGTAATGGAAGTAGATAGAGTGTGGAGAAAGATGGAGAAAAGAAAGGAAGAAAGAGTGCAGAGAAAGATGAAGAAAAGAAAGGAAGTGAGAGCGCAGAAAAAGATTGAGAAAAGAAAGCAAAAGAGAGTGTGGAGAAAAATGGAGTAGTGAATTAAAGAGAGAGTGTGGAGAAAGATGAAGAAGAGAAAATAAGAGAGAGTGAGGAGAAAGATGGAGAAAAGAACAGAAGAGAGACTGCAGAGAAATATGGAGAAATTAAAGAAAGAAGAATTACGGAGAAAGCTGGAGAAAAGAAAGGAAGAGAGAGTGTGGAAAAAGATGGAGAAAAGAAATGTAAAGAAAGTGCATAGAAAGATGGGAAAATGAATTAAAGAGAGAGTGCAGAGAAAGATGGAGAAATGAAAGGAAGAGAGAGTGTGGAGAAAGATGGAGAAATGAAAGGAAGAGATAGTGTGGAGAAAAATTGAGAAATGAAAAGAAGGGAGAGTGTGGAGAAAGATGGAGAAGAGAAAGGAAGAGAGAGTGGAGAAAAGAAAGGAAGAGAGAGTGCAGAGAAAGATGGAGAAAAGAAAGGAAGAGACAGTGTGGAAAAAGATGGAGAAAAGAAAGGTTAAGAAAGTGAATAGAAAGATGGCAAAATGAATTAAAGAGAGACTGCAGAGAGCGCTGGAGAAAAGAAAAGAGAGTATGGAGAAAGATAAAGAAAAGAAAGGTTGAGAGAGTGCAGAGAACAATGGAAAAATTAGAGAAAGAAAGAGTACAGAGAAAATTGGAGAAAAGAAAGTAAGAGATAGTGTGGAAAAATATGGAGAAAAGAAAGGTAAAGAAAGTGCATAGAAAGATGGAAAAATGAATTAAAGAGAGAGTGCAGAGAGAGCTGGAGAAAATAAGAGTGTGGAGAAAGATGAAGAAAAGAAAGGAAGAGAGAGTGTGGAGAAAGATGGATAAATTAATTAAAGATAGAGTGCGGAGAAAGATGTAGAAATGAAAGGAAGAGAGAGTGCTGAGAAAGACATAGAAAGGAAAGGAAAAGAGAGTGCTGAGAAAGATGGAAAAAAGTAAGGTAACGAGAGTGTTAAGAAAGTTGGCAAAAAAAGGAAGAGGGCGTGCAGAGAAAGCTGGAGAAATGAAAGGAAGATAGAGTGCAGAAAACGATGGAGAAATGAAAGGAAAAGAGAGTGCAGAGAAAAATTGAGAAATAAGATGAAGAGAGACTCCAGAGAAAGATGGAGAAAAGAAAGGAAGAGAGAATGCTGAAAAATATGGAGAAAAGAAAGGAAAAGAAAGTGCATAGAAATATGGGGAAATTAATTAAAGAGAGAATGCAGCGAAACCTTGAGAAAAGAAAGGAAAAGAGAATGTGGACAAAGATGGAGAAAAGAAAGGAAGAGAGAGTGTGGAGAAAAGTAGAGAAATTAATTAAAAACAGAGTGCAGAGAAGTATAGAGAAGAGAAATGAAGAGATAGTGATGAGAAAGCTGGAGAATAGAAAGGAAAATAGAGTACGGAGAAATATGGAGAAAGGAAAGGAAGACAGAGGGTAAAGAAGGATGGAGAAAAGCAAGGAAGAGAGATTGCAGAGAAATATGGAAAAAAGAAAGGAATTGAGAGTGTGGAGAAAAGAACAGAAGAGAGAGTGTAGTGAAAGATAGAGAAATGAAAGGAAGAGCGAATACAGTGAATGATGTAGAAAAGAAAAGAAGAGAGAGTGCTGAAGATAATGGGGAAAATAAATGAATGTAGAGTGCAGAAAAGGATGGAGAAAAGAAAGGAAGATAGTGCTGAAAAAGGTAGAGAAAAGAAAGCAACAGAGAGTGCAGAAAAGGATGGAGAAAAGAAAAGTAAAGAGAGTGTGGAGAAAGATGGAGAAATGAAAGGAAAAGAGAGTGTGGAAAAAACAACAGAAGACAGAGTGCAGAGAAAGATGGAGAAATGAAAGGAAGAGAGAGTGCAGAGAAAGATGGAAAAAAAAAAGGAAAAGTGAGTGCAGTAAAAGAAATAGAAAAGAAAAAAAAGTGCGAAGAAAGATTGAAAAATGAGGTAAAGAGAGAGTGCAGAGAAAGCTGGAGAAACGAAATGGAGAGAGAGTGCAGAGAAAGATGGAGAAGTGAACGGATGAGTGTGGCGAAACTAACCTCGCCACTGGCTTTTGGAGGAGCCTCTTTGCCAGCATCCTGTGACTATGGCCCCTGTGATAAAACTTGTTTAAAACCACTTTTGGACTTCTGACATTATTTACTCAGTGAACCTTCAAACTCCCGAAGCAGCACTTCGAACTCCGGAAGCAGTTCAAAGCGGCATTCAAATAACCGCATGAACCAGAGGCCACCCTGGAGCTTGTTAACATCTATTAACAACTTGGAACATTTCTCACCGCCATGTTCTACTTGTTTGTCTGGTTGGCCGCAAGTCCTATGGACAACCACGAGGTGGCGGCCATCTAGTTTGGGCATAAATCTCATTGAACTAAAATCGGACACAGAAACTCCTGAACACCGCTTGACTGCCATCATCGCTTGCGTTTGGTTCTATACAGCTTAGAAGGGCACTGTTCGGTGAAATCATTTGTCTGGATGAGGGGAACAAGCTCCAGGGTAAGACCATTGACTCTGTCTGGTAGTTTGTTCGTTTTCAAACTACTGAACTAGACCAACCGCAAGCCCTGATTCTCTGGAACTGTTTTGGGCATGGGACCATGCCTGCGGTCGTTCAAATAAATGACTTCCAGGAAATTCCTGAACCCCTAAACTGATCTGGGTGATTTTTGGATATGTTGGTCACTCAGATCAGGGCTATCAGGGGATGTAACATTTGTAGGGATCTTATGTGTATTGGGGTACTTTTGGGATTTTATAAAAATATGTGTTTTTTCTGCCTGGAGATAATTGAGTTAATACAGCATCTGACTCAATTATCTCCTGGGCATAGGGGAAGGATTGTATGTTAATTATGGGAGTGTCGTGCATTGTAACTCAGTTATTATTGGTCTGTGACTTTGTACCATAGTTCCCCACAAGGTCCATGTGGGCATACCTCTTGTATGGGGATTGTTATAAAAGGCCAAGCGTGGCACCATTAAAATTAGTTCACTTACCCTCAACACAGAGTCTTGTCTCTTGTTGTAGGGAACTGCTATACCAGTTTTAACCCATGCTCCTGGGATTGTTCTTTGGATTGCTATACAGGCTATGACCACTAGCTCTTATAAGAGCTTCACAGCTAGACTCTCTTGGAGGAGAGGCCTTCCCACTGGGAGCTGGATCCAGGAGTTTGGTCCAGGGTGGGAAGGGATGGCGAGACCCCAGCCAAGCTGCAGCGGCTAGGGGGCTATGGTGCTTACAGTGTCTGTTGCAGTGATTTTGGTACTAAGCGTCAGCTAGGAAGCATCGACTGACGGAGGAACCCATTAGGGGTGCCAGGCAGTCCATCACAATGAGAGAGTGGGGAGAAAGATGGAAAAAAGAAAGGAAAAGAGAGTGCAGAGAAAGATGGACAAAAGAGAGGAAAAGAGAGTGCAGAGAAAGATGGACAAAAGAAAAGAGACCGAAGGGAGAAAGATGGAGAAATGAAAGGAAGAGAGATTGCAGAGAACTATGTTAAAAAGAAAGGAAGATAGAGTGCAGAGAAAGATGGAAAAAAAGAAAGGAAGAGAGAGTATGGGAAATGATGGAGAAAAATAAGGAAAAGAGAGTGCATAGAAAGATGGAAAAATGAATTAAAGAGAGACTGCAAAGAAAGATGGAGATAATATTTTTTTTATTTCCTTGGATTATGTACTCTGTTAGTTTTTGTTTTTTTCAATTTATTTATTTTTAAGATTTTTCCTGTAGTTTAAGTTATCGTTAAGTGTCCCTTTAATAATATAAACCCACCCAGTATAACTAACTGTAACCTAACCTACACAGTGCATCTAACGTGTGTGGGAGCCTGGAGTGTCCCTTTATTAATACAAACCCACCCAGTATAACTAACTGTAACCTAACCTACACAGTGCATCTAACGTGTGTGGGAGCCTGGAGTGTCCCTTTAATCATATAAACCCACCCAGTATAACTAACTGTAACCTAACATACACAGTGCATCTAACATGTGTGGGAGCCTAGAGTGTCCCTTTAATAATATAAACCCACCCAGTATAACTAACTGTAACCTAACCTACACAGTGCACCTAATGTGTGTGGGAGCCTGGAGTGTCCCTTTAATAATATAAACCCACCCAGTATAACTAATTGTAACCTGACCTACACTGTGCACCTAACGTGTGTGGGAGCCTGGAGTGTCTCTTTAATAATATAAACCCACCCAGTATAACTAACTGTAACCTAACCTACACAGTGCATCTAATGTATGTGGGAGCCCGGAGTGTCCCTTTAATAATATAAACCCACCCCCCCAGTATAACTAACTGTAACCTAACCTACTCAGTGCATCTAACGTGTTTAGGAGCCTGGAGTGTCCCTTTAATAATAAAACCCACCCAGTATAACTAACTGTAACCTAACCTACACAGTGCACCTAATGACCTAACGTGTGTGGGAGCCTGGAGTGTCCCTTTAATAATAAAACCCACCCAGTATAACTAACTGTAAACCCAACCTACACAGTGCATCTAACGTGTGTCCGAGCCTGGAGTGTCCCTTTAATAATATCAACCCACCCAGTATAACTAACTGTAACCTAACCTACACAGTGCTTCTAACGTGCGTGGGAGCCTGGAGTGTCCCTTTAATAATATAAACCCACCCAGTATAACTAACTGTAATCTAACCTACACAGTGCATTTAATGAGTGTGGGAGCCTGGACTGTCCCTTTAATAATATAAACCCACCCAGTATAACTAACTGTAACCTAACCTACACAGTGCATCTAACGTGTGTGGGAGCCTGGAGTGTCCCTTTAATAATATAAACCCACCCAGTATAACTAACTGTAACCTAACCTACACAGTGCACCTAATGTGTGGGGGAGCCTGGAGTGTCCCTTTAATAATATAAACCCACCCAGTATAACTAACTGTAACCTAACCTACACAGTGCATCTAACGTGTGTGGGAGCCTGGACTGTCCCTTTAATAATATAAACCCACCCAGTATAACTAACTGTAACCTAACCAATACAGTGCATCTAACGTGTGTGGGAGCCTGGAGTGTCCCTTTATTAATACAAACCCACCCAGTATAACTAACTGTAACCTAACCTACACAGTGCATCTAACGTGTGTGGGAGCCTGGAGTGTCCCTTTAATCATATAAACTCTCCCAGTATAACTAACTGTAAACTAACCTACACAGTGCATCTAACATGTGTGGGAGCCTAGAGTGTCCCTTTAATAATATAAACCCACCCAGTATAACTAACTGTAACCTGACCTACACTGTGCACCTAACGGGTGTGGGAGCCTGGAGTGTCCCTTTAATAATATAAACCCACCCAGTATAACTAACTGTAACCTAACCTACACAGTGCACCTAACGTGTGTGGGAGCCTGGAGTGTCTCTTTAATAATATAAACCCACCCAGTATAACTAACTGTAACCTAACCTACACAGTGCATCTAATG